TAATATAACACAAACACACAAACCATACATACGATACATACATATATATATTAATATTGTATTTATTTCAGATACGTTTTTTCATTTAATTTGTTTACCAGTAATTAGTGGTTTTCATTCATTTGTTTCATGTTTAGAGAGTATTGTCATGGGCAATTGGTCTAAGCTGAGGTTATTTTCTGCAATAATTAAATTGTATTAGCCGGTAAGGTATTTAATGAACGTGAATCAGAAAATAATGTCTGTGTAAAAATATACTTTCTTATATATATGTGTGTGTGTGTGTAAAGTATCCAAAAATAAATACAAGCATATGTGTGTGTGTGTGTGTGTGTGTGTGTGTGTAAAGTATCCAAAAATACAAGCAGAAGAGCAGAAAAAAGATGAGAGATGCTTCCTGTCATTCCAGATTGGAGACAGGCACAGCTGGATGTCTGTTATCCTCCATTCAATAATAATACGAGGAATGGCGTGAGAAATGCAGGACGTACTCACCAACACCCACATAGCCTAAAAATCGGGTTACATATTCAACCATAGCCCCTTTAAATTGGGGGGTGTTTTATTTTGAAAGCGCGCCTCTTTTCCTGTATCGTCCGGGTTTACGCTGACTTTCTTGACGCGGCACGTCGGTGTGAAAGCCCTGCCGTCGCCTTGTCGAGTCATCGCCAGAGAAGAGCAGAGAGCAGACGGAGCCGCCGTCCGATGGCTTGAAAGCGGAGAATAACTGTGGACCACAGCGGATTTATTGCACCACACAAGCCGAGGAGGGAGCACAAACTGCGGTCACGGCAGCGGGCTGGATGTCGCTGCGGATGTGGATATTGCATTTTTAGACTGTGGAGGCTGTTGCGTTTATTTTTTTGGTTTCACGGTTGCAGACCCGGACACAGACAACACAGAGACAGACGAGAGAAGTACCAGAGCCGCCGCGACACCAGCGAGCGAACTTGGCTTCTCTGCCCTGTGGGAGGTGTCAGTCTGTCGGCTGTGGCTCGCTGCACATACCGCTTACCGCGTCGTTGCTCGGACCTTATTATTATTATTTTTTAAAGGATAAGGTTGTTGCTAAGTTATGTTTTTGTAAATAACGTCTTATATTTCTTTTTTTTTTTTTGAGGAGGGGGTGTTTCGGCAACCAACTGTGGCTTTAATGTGACGCACTGACGTTGTACTAACATTTTGCGCTGTGTCGGAGCGGACCCCCACTGCAGAGGAGTTAAAAGGCTGTTAAATCAAGTTTTTACCTTCAGATTCCTACTGTACCCCTACAGCCCACACCGATGCAATAGGTAACAGTGCATTGTTTTTATTTTATTTTTTTTGCTTTATTATAATGATTTATCCAAAATCGTGACTGGTTGTTGCTTGTGTCTTGTTTTTGCCTGTGGTTAAAGTTAGCTGCATTGCCTTTTTTTTTGTTGAGTTCCTCAACAGGCAGCAGTGAACCCCTCACTGCAATTCTTACTCAGAGCTGAGTGTTCAGGACACTCAGGCACCCTCTCCAGACCAGTTGCACTCATGCAAGATTCACATGTTCACACAACATGCATTTAGCCTGTATCAGTAAGCAGCAGAGGCAACCGCTCAACCTTTCCCTGCGAGTTTTTAATTGCTCCTGTTCTCATTTTAACTGGATGAACATCTTTTGTTCATTAGGTTTTAATGAGCCGAACTGAGCGAATTCAGTTCAATTGTTTGGCATGGGCTGGTGATGTGTGGATTTTTACTGACAGCCAATCCCTTTTATATTTTAATAATCATTTTGATCCTATTTAAAAATAAGTCTGACAATGAGATTTTGGCCATGCTTGAATGTTTATATGCGCATTATATTTGTCAGGGAGGCTGTTAACAGAGGACCTGACACCAGTCACTACACAATACCAGTACAACGTGTTATTTTGCTGATACTCTGGGCTTCAAATAAAAACTTACGTTTGAGCCTTTTTCAGACTAATTTCAGTCAGAAAAGGGACAGTGATAATCATGTCTCTTGATATTTAAGTTAATTTAAATATAAATGCTGCACACTTTACCTTAAAACCCTTTCTATTATGGCTGTTACTACACATTTTTTAATTTAAAATTAATTGACTACTTCTGTTCAGTTTTCTGGCTGCCCTAACAACAGCCCCTAGCTGTTGTCAAATCCCTGTAAAAACATCTTCTCAGATCAAAAAGGCAGATGTTTTTCACAGTAATCTTTAATTAAATTCACCCTTGTTTAAATTTGGTGCCACCCCACACATTATAAGCAGCGTGTTGTGTCATATGCACCTTTCTGGTCACGTCTCAGGCCACAGACGCAGAGGGATCCAGCTGTCCACTGGGATTGTTAGACAGGAGAGATAGCTTTGTGATTTAGATGACGCACACCCAGCAATACACTTCACTGACAATAGCGGTCTCATACTGAAGTCATCAGTCTGGTCTCCCTCGTTGAATCTACTCTCTCACGTTGGGCTGTTCATTACAGTCTACACCTGAAGCCTGAGACATCTGGTTGAGTAAATTACTTCTCTTAACCTCCGGGGCGGCCAGGTGCCATTAAATGCAGAAGTAAATGCAAAATGTTAAACCTGTTTATAACCCATCATTGCACACACAACACTGGAACAGGAGAAGATTTTATGTCAGAAAAGGCAAGAAACAGGCTTTCGACCTGCCTGATGGCCTTAAGGCACATACCTACTGTGACCTCCTCAGCACTAATCCTGCACTCACTTCACTTAATTGGGACAATATACAGTAGCCTGTGGGGCCAGATCAATCTCACTTCTGTATGGCCAGTACTGGGAAACTGTCAGGACAAATTTACCTCTTTAAAAGTATTTTCTGAACAATAGCATAAACAGTTTTTGCTGTTTGTTCCTCATTCACAGTGGAGAGATTTAATTGAAGGAACGGCAAAACATTGACAATTATCCTGCATGTTTCTTTGTCGATAAGACATGAAAAACTTGTTGGGGTCGTTTTAAACATGAATTAATGTACTGTGAATGATTTCTAACGTCACACACCAAAGCACCTCTGAGCCACTTCCACTATGATAATACTACAGTGTAGAGTACAGGTTATGTGTAGGATGTTATGTTAGCCAAATTCAACAAGTTTTCTGCAACGCAATATGCAAAATAATATATTCAGCTATGTATTGAGTTTTTGCAGCTCTGAGGGAGCGCCCCCCTCCCCTCTCATGCTAAGCTGCTGAATTGCCACAGAGTAGCCCAACTTTGAGGTCAGCCAGGCTGTGGTGACTTTGGGGCTAAATTTGGAACGTGGAGCAATTAGGCGCACACTCCACTGCATTAACTACATGGGGCAATTGGGAGGGAAAGATTGAGGGTGGGATGCAGATCTCTTTTCTTGTTGACGAAATTAAAGATGGACCCAAGTCAAATAATTTTCACTGATGAATCCCAAACCAAGGGCGCAGGAATCCTGAATCCTCTATCAGCCAAATCAGGAATGATTATTTAATTAAGACACTGCTTTTAGTACTGCAAATATTGACTTATTGGTGCATGAAAAGCTAGGTTTTCTTTTGCTGACCTATTTTCAGTATCCGTACCAACCTTATTGTTTAGGATAAGAACATCCAAATGAGGGATTGATCTCTGCTTGGTTGGAGGAGCTGACAGATTTGTCAACTACAACCACAATTGTGGCAGCATTTGTCTGGTGTTCATTTCCCACCCTGCGTCTGTCACTCATACCACTCATCACTGGCCAAATGGTGTTAAAATGTTATGGTATCTGTGGCAGCTTGAATGTTCTATGAGCCACTCAGTATCGTTTGGTTAGGTCAGTCAAGAAGTCACGTGAAAGCAGATGCTGAGTTTTGTCACATATGTAAAGAAAATATATTTTATTTATGCCGCTCTCTTTCTTCTCTCTTTTGATTTACAGTGACAAGGGACGGAGCAGATCAAGGTTGGCCAGGCTAGGCCAGGCTAGGCCTACCTAGCCTTCTGTCTGGCCTTACCAGAAGGGCCAGCAACCTCTCCAGGGAATCCTATCTTCAACAAGCAGTGGCAGCCTGTTCTTTCACAAACCTGCAAGTCAAGCTGTAAAGGATTGGATTCCAATTACATTATCCGCCTTTGGGAGGCCATACTGGTCTGTTAGATCACCAGTCCTTCCATGTCGTGGTCATCCCTCTCTGGATGTTGGCATCAGGATGGATTCTGGTGTTAATTTGACGGTTGTCACCTCATTGCACTGCTTGCACCCCCCCTCCTTTGACTGCCTTTCGTCCCTTCCCTCCCAAATTTTTAGGCGAAAGCCCCTTCCTCTCTCTTGGGGCTTCCCTGAGCCCTGTACAGAAGGGCCTTGTAGGAACTGTAGGTTGTGTTGTTGAAACAGTTGCAAAGAGGAAGTAGAGTTAATAAACCCTTGCTAAAAAAGACACAATGAAAATTGCTGCACTCAATTGATTTGATTGATTTATTTTCTGTAACCCCTCCTCTTGTTTATCCACGAGTTTGATTGGAGATTGGAGAGCTTTTTATTTAAAAAAAGAAGCTTGCTAGTCGAAGTCATTACTTTAAACATAGGTTGGTCTGATTACTCACATGAAATAGGTCCTTATTTATATGTAAAGAATTTCTCTTTTGTGGTCTGAGCCTCAGGGAGGAATGTCTGAAAGCGATAGCAGCAGCAAAGCAGTGAAATTCATTGCCCCGGCCCCCCCCCCTCCCTCTGCCTCCCTCTGTCCATCACCCCAGACCCCCC